GAATTAACCACGTATTTAGTCTTTTCTTCACTTATTTAAGGCACATACTTAGTGCAGCTATTTTTATATAAATACAGGCTGATTCCAAATTGGCGTCATTCTTCTGGGGATGTTTGGGGAGTACAGGAAAAATAGTAAAAAAATTGTTATTTAAAACTGAGATATTTGCAAAAAACTAGATCAGAAACATGGCAACCATGTTTTTCAAGGTAATCTACCTCATTAACATTACGTATATACCTGTTGCTTCTCCTTCTTCTTAGTCGGCCCCCCATCATCTATTCCTAGACTCTCTCGTGCCCTTACATACTAATCTGTCTTGTGCTGTCCGAAGCCACCTCTTTCCTACATGTTCCTTAATGGCGTCGAGCCATCTGCTCCCATCTGCGGCCTTCCTACGCTGCGCCTTGTCAGTCTTTCCCTAAGACTGATGTTAAGCATTGTTCTTTTCATCGCTCGTTCCATTACCCTCAGTTGAGTTGTGGTCTTTTACGTCATTACTATTGTTTACATGCCATAAGTGGCTACTGGCCATATGCTGGTGTCGGAAACTCGCCTTTTGGGATTTATAGGAATTTTACCATTTCTCAATATAAACTTCAACTTTCCGAAGTCTTATGCTTCTCTTAATCTCCACTGTTGGCTTTTCTTTTCCTGTTCTTATTGTGTGTCCTAAATATAAATACTCTTCTACATTTTCGAGTTTTGCACCATCTATGTATATTTGTTGCAAAGTGTTACTTAAGATTTTGGTCTTTGAAATATTCATTTCTAACCCGATCATTTTAGAGTAGTATATTATACTACTACTTATTATCACTAGTACTACTTATTATCACGATATCGTCGGCGAAGCGGACGTGGTTCGAGCAAGATCCATCTACATTTATGCCTTTAGTTTCGCACTCCAATGACCAAAAGACTGTCAAAAGTAAACAATTTCGGAGATATGGTATCACCCTGTCGCACACCCCTTATCTATCGTGATTCTCTCTGTCTTAAGTCCTCGCTGATTCTTACATGTAATGGGGCATTTTAGTATATCGTTAAGGTTAATTTTCGCAAAAGAATACTTTCGATATAAATTTAAGCCATTTAATGAACGCCTTGCACGATATCCATCAAATCAATCCTCCAATCGATCAATTCCTACTCATTATCCAAGCAGCCCTGGACAACGCCCAGCCATTGCCCGGAAGGACCACCGCGCCATCTAATGTCCCAGCTATGAAATAGCCCCGATGTTGCCACTCCCGTTCTTGTCCCGCCTTCCAGTGTTGCCATCCCGCCGTGATTCCTCCGATTTCCCAGGTTGCTTACAATATATTTTTCCTTCCACCTCCAGCCGTCTCCAGCGAAAATCGACTAACTCCCAAAATCACTAACACAGAACAGCAAACCCGTTCCTTGGAATCGTCCACTAAACTAATTAGCAGAGCGATGGCGAGCACCAGTAAGCTTTAGGTATTCCCACCCTGTTCTGCCAACTGGCTTTTACATCTCCGACATTTCCTATCATGCAAAAATCCTATAACATCAACCCCTCGATTCTGAAAAAAATTCGTAACTGACCCTTCTCGATGACTTCTCCCCAAAATTTCCCCAACTTCTCCCAAATTTCTCCAGTATTCTTCCACAACTTCACCCGATATTTCTACCCCTACTTTCACACTCCCTCCGTTATTGTACTACCTTGAAAAACCACTATCACAGAATCCTTATCGCCGTTCCTTGGACCATCCTCCCAACCAATTAGCGGGAGGATGGGGCGCCACCAGTAAGCTCTGAGTTTCCCATCCTGCACAACCTTCTACCTTTTACCTCTCCGTCAATTCCTGAAAAGTGTCCGGGCGGCTGGGCGTGCGCGAGGTCTGTGTAAACATTGCTCGTCACATCAACCCGAAAACAAAAACTTCAATTGATTAACCCTTTTAGCTCACCTTTCCATTTTCCCTCGATTACCAAAAATCTCACTTCTACCGGTCTTGGAGAAGGTCAGTTGACTTGATTTTGCGCCTGTAGATAGTTTTGTTCTTAATACCMTCRTATTTGCGTTATTTTCAATGGTGTTTTCGATAATTCTGGTGTTGTATGCTCGGATATCTTTATGTATCCTTCTGTTCAACTCYTTATAGGCCGGTGTACCCTGGAAGTGTTTATCCTTTGTTCYATGAGCCTTAGAGTCTCTGAACTCTACTCGGGATCACCCTTGGCTGGGGCACGATCACACTCTCTTTCTTGCTACTTGGTATTTTTCTTCCTTCCMAATCTGGAGTATGAGGGTAGGGAAGTGTTCGAGAAAARTTTCTCCCCCATATTTGAGRCGCTCTGCTGATATTGTGTCATCACCCGGAGCTTTGYTATTTTTCAACCTGCTGATCTCCTTCGTTTCCTTCTCAATAGTTGGCTCTTCGATCAGTGGGTTTGCGGTATCGTAGGTGACCGCAACTCTCTCTTGGACCTGCTGTGTGTTTAGTAAGTGGTCGAAGTAACTTCTCCACACCTCCATCACCGCGCTATTATTTGTCACTAATATTCCCTTATCTGTTTTACGAAACACGTCAGTTCTCGGCCTGAAGCCTCCTTTAGTGCTTCTCACTTCTTGAAAAAATTCGCTAACTTAGTTGCTGGTTTGACTTGCCTCTAGGTCCTCTAACATTTTTTGTGTCCCTTGCTCTTTTCTTTACTCTAAATGTCCTTGTTGTTGCTCTTGCTAGTCTGTATTTCTCCCCATTGGGTTCTCTTGGGTTCTGCAGCGTCTACAATCGGACCTCGTTTCTTGCCCCTATCTTCTTTTCACTCCTTGTCGTACCAAGAGCTCGCCCGTCCAGTGTTTTTCTTTGCCACCATCGTTTGCGTACTTTCCACTTCCGACTTCTTAATGTTTCTCCAGGTTTGCTCTACATCGTCCCGTCTGGATGTTAACTCAAGCTGCGTTAGACGGCGTAGAGCTGTTAGACTCCTCTGGTATTCGCCCCTCTTGAATGTTTTGGTATTCCATGTAGGGGGCTCAGCTGGCATTCTTATACTTTTGGCTAGATATTCTTCATCGTACTTTAGCTCTCACCAGAAAATAGTCACTCTCTGCATCCACACCTCTGAGGCTCATTAGTTATGTATTTTTTTTCTTCAGTTGGGGCGCGTATTCGCCTTGCGGTACAAACAATCGCCAATTAAAGGCTCTGTCCTATGTATGCCCTTTGTACGATGATACGAAAATGTTTCTATTGTTCAGAGATTTTAGAAGTTCGTACCATTCCGATTTCCAGCTGTCCCATGTAAACGATAACATTGGATTGTGACGATAACTATGGTTGCCGGATTTACAATTTTCTCGTCACCAGACCAAAGTAAGAAAAGCTCGAGTTGAGTTCTACTGTTGAAAAATAAGCAACAATAAAACTTATCAAAAAGTCAGATTGTACATGTAATTAAGCCAAAATATGAATTTACCTTCGAAATAATTTTTAAGAAATAAAAGTGTTTTGAATATTCGGATAAAACTGACAATAAATTAACCATAAAATCTTATGTGAAAGCAATGAATGTGAGGTTAAAAATCGTATACAGTTTACATGACGAATTGACAGATCACCCAACCACATTTTCGTATCATCGTATAAACGGATACATAGGACACAAAAACATTGAAACTGAACTGAAAAACACTTAAATATTTAGTAAACAAATTCGGCTAAAATTCAAATTATTCATGAATCTCTAACACGCAATCCTATTGATTGTGACGTCTCTGGTCATATAAATAGCGGATTTTTTACGTTCTGTGCATTGTGTTTAGTTGTGTGGTTGTGTTTCATTAATTATTTTGGGGATTTAAATAATTTGTAGTTTGTGTTAAACTACAAAATCGCTTCAGAAAGATTCCTTAAAGCGTCAACAAACAATTTACCTTCTGTACATATTTTTATGGTAATTTAAAAAAACGACGAACGCTTTAATTCAGCCCAATTTAAGGGTGTCAAAGCAGCAGCGTAAGTAAAAATCCGTAATTTCATTATTAGTTACTCTCTTCTTAATATACTAATCTGCCTGCATTGGATTAAATTAGATAAATAATATACGGAATTTCACTTATTCAACTTAACCTAACCTATACACATGGCTGCTTTAAAAGTATAATTAACTCTTAAATTTGCATTTTGGTATCACGAGAACAATATAGTGATATCGGATATGTGGAATTGAAACGAGAGGGTTCTTTGTGTACAAGGTAGAATTTGCCCAGGACACAAAGTACGATCGAAGGCACATTCTGTCTGCCTCATCATTAGCTTTTTGTTCGTACTTTCATTAAAATGATACTCACAACAAAAAAACATTGATTTTGATTTAGGACCATCACGTCTAGCTGCTTTGAACCATAAAATTTTACGTGCATAATTATGGGGAACGGTTAGAAAGAGTTTGTTTGGAGCACTTATTGAGGCATCCTGGCACAAACACCACTTATTTTGTGATCCATACATGTCACTATTTTCCATTATGCAGATAATAATAATAATCAATCAAATAATGATGCTCACCATAACTTAAATAAGAAAACAAAGCTGCGAAAACAACAAAATAAACACGAGACACTTTGTTGATATGACCTGCTACGTCACAATCGGGATAGACAACCGACGATACGGTTTTTGGCGGAAAATATCTGATTTGAACTTACATTCGCTTTAAAACTATTATGAAGACTTTTCTTGCAAAAAAAATTATATCAGGGTAATGTTTGTCATAACTACTTTCTATATATCAACATTAAAAAAAAGTGAAAACACCCTATTCTGCGGCTCGTAAAGGAACGGAATCCGCCCCTGATGAAACTAGTTCCGTCCAGTGCCCGTGCACTAAATGCTTAGGTTGCAACTCAACTGGAAATTGCTTATATTTATACCTGACAATACTAAAAGCATTACGACATTGTCGTCAATTTGGCAACACAGCTTTCCATTTTCTCGGAATGATGGCGCTCTTGTAACGGTTATAGCCGGTTCCACGCTGGCGCATCCGTTCTGTGCTGGTGCGAACAAACTACTTTTTCGGTTTTATCAGACGGTTCCAGACATAACAGGCTTAATTCTCGTAACCTTACACCTGCATGACTGCCAAACACGCATTTTTGCTTGAAAGCTTTCTGTTATCGACGATTATTTAATGTTATTGTGGTTGTGGAACGTATAATGTGCGGTTAGTTGGAACTTGAAACGTTTAGTGATATTATTTGAACGTAAAGTTGTCGCATTTGATGAGCTTGTTTAAGATCGTTGTTAGTATGGAGAAAAGTAGGGGGATCAAGAGAAGCTTTTTGTGGAATTATTTCACGGTAAAAGACGCGGAGCAAAAACTTTGCAAGTGCGATCTTTGCAAGCAAATATTATGCTACAAGTCCACAATCACTAATTTAAAAAAGCACATGGTCCGAAGACATCCGACTATAAACTTAAAGGCACATTTGACGAATACTAACAGAGAATCTGAAAGTGAATCTGAGCTCAATCATGTTCCAACCACATCAGAACCTACATATTCTATTGTTCCGATGTCGTTCAAGACTGACAGTTTTGAGGAACCAGACCAAATTGAATCCAAGGACAAACAATCAAATATCGTAAGTTCTACATCGAGAAATAGGATAAGCGTATGATACAATGAATAAAAGGTCTGACATTACGTCGATTTGCCTGACGTCATGTGGTACTCAGTGCAGTGTTGTCATACCTAGCACAAGGCGGAGTTTGAATTTGGGCGTGTCTTGCTAGTTTATTGTCTGATAAATGTGATTAAATATAGCTTGTTTAGTCTTGGCCACATTCCATAATTTTTTTATAAATCTTTGTTATAATTGCAAAATGCTTCGCAACGGCTTGAAAATGAAAAGTTACAAAAATTAATTTATTGCAATGCAATCAAGTATAGTGTTAGCTGTAAATGTGCCCTTGCAGAAAATGTTAGGTTGCTATTATTTAATTGGGAAATTATTATTATTATATCTGCTTTAGAGGTTAAAATCCGTTTTTAACAAATATGAGAATCAGATTATTTTATGAAAAATATGCACATGAGGAATTCATTGCCTTATTAACATTTTGTTGTGCCAGTCCCTATATCGAAAATTCGAGTATTATAAATGCAGAATACCTTTTTGAGGTTATGATAGTTTTTTATGGTAACGAGAAAATCAAATTCTAGTACAATCACACTAATCCGGCACTATTAAAAGCCAGAGGGTGTCTGATTATTGGAATGTTTGGATTACTGGATTATAGCGAAAAAATCATAATAAATAAAATAAAGCAATTCATCAAGAGAATAGATATGATGTATGTATGGTACAGGGTTATTGATTGAACTTTGGCCACCCCGTTTTTGCATCTAATTTGAAATTTAGAGACAAATGTTAAATACAAAAGCTGTAGATATTAACGTCTAGTTTACTTTAAGATACTAACAATTAATACAGGGTGTCTCAAATTCAAGTGCTAGACCAAACTTTATTTTTTTTAAATGGAATGCCGTACTTACATTAGAGCTATTCGTAAAATTCTAGGCCTATTCGATGCAAAGATTGTATATTGATTTTCAACTGTTTTTGAGTTAATAACTAATATTGCTTAAACTTGACTAATCCAGCCGGAGGTTTTTGCATAAAACGGCATCTAGACGAGTCAATCATCAATCAATCAAGTAATCAATATGAAGGGATTTTGAAAATGTTTACATAAGATTGTAGCCAGATAATGAGGATATCTGGTCGTTCCTCATTAACCTAGGAAAATTTTGAGGTATCTCAATTGAAGGTCAAAGTCAACATTTTGTCTTTTTCCCATAAGAGCCCATGTAAACGAAATTGTCGATCGAAAAAATCGGCCAGGACAGCGACTGACAAAAGTTTTTTTTAGTCTATTGTTTTGAAGACACAAAGACACCCTGTCAAAGAGTTGGACATTATTCGTCGTTTTTTGACATGCAAAATGCAAAATAAAATTTTTGCTCCCATAAGAGACCATGTAAAGCGAAACATTGAATGTTTATAGCCAACAAAGCGAAGAGCGTTATTGGTACGTGTTGTGGCACATTATCGATATACCATCGATATATTTGATTGACACTAAAAGTATTGAATTTTTCCAAAACTGTGGGACTTCACTGTTGGTGGGACGTAATGACGTCATTGGTACTATACTTGACAAGGATTAAAAAAATCAAGTGTAATGCATTGATTTGCATCAGTAAATACCTTTTTGTTTTATGTGAAAATTTAAGCGAAAATTGACATAACAAAATTGGGGACAATTTCGAAAACTTTTCCGCAAGTTTTTGCATGATTTTAGAAAATCGTCAATTGTTCGGTTTTTATCGATCGTAGCTAAAAAGTGAATACCAAGTTTTTTATGGACTGATTAGATTCCGTTCAGCTCTGTTGGTTACCGAGATACTAGCAGTTTTTTGGAAACCATATTTTCGCGATTTTTCACTATGAAAGGGGAAAGGTTGAAAAAAATACGGTTGGATAGGGCTTCGTTTCTTCGTTTTCGAGACAAAAAATAAACTGTAAAATTTCGAAAAAGTTGCTAGGGTTTCTCACAAACATTTTTTATGTTTTACAAAAAATTTTGTTTTCAAACTATTCTTTGACAGGTGGCTAGATATGGAAAAGTTACATCAGATGGTTGGTTCATAAAACATTTTCTCTATGAGCCGCAAGGGAAGATGAAAAAGTTGGTACAGGCCCTTATGGAAGGCAAAGTTTGAATTGAATAAAATTCTTAAATGCCGTTAGAATTGGTTGAAATTGTCACCCATTAGTATTGAGACAAATTCTAATGGGTGACTAATGGGTGAATATAGAGCAAACATTGCTCTATTGGTCAGGGCAAGTTGGAAGGTTTATTTTGTTCAAGAGAAGTTTTGGGAAATTTTCGAAAATGCGCCTCAAAGTCGACATCGAAACTATCGAGACTCCACTTCATCAATTCGCTCTTGAAAGCCCCGAATAGCAACAGAGCTAAATTTTTTAGTGAATATATAGCAAATATTTCTCTATTAGTCAGGGCAAACTATTATTTTGAAGGTCCTCACAGATAGAGCATTATAATTTTCTGTAAATGTGGAGCAAACACATCTCTATTGAACATAGCAAATTAGAACATTCATTCGGTTTAAAAGTAATTTTGGGAAATTTTCTAAAATACGCATTTCAAAGTCGACATCGAAACTATCGAGACTCCACTTCAAAAATTCGACCTTAAAAGCCCCGAACAGATATAGAGCTGACATTTTTAGTGAATATAGACCAAACATGGTCAGGGCAAGTTGGAAGGTTTCTTACGTTCAAGAGCAATTTTTGAAATTTTTTGAAAATGTGCGTCTCAAAGCCTATGTTAGCACTATCAAAGCTCTAATTCAAAAATGCTCTCTTTGAAGCCCCGAACAGATATAGAGCTGAAAATTTGAGTGAATATAGAGCACGACATTGCTCTATTGCTGATGGTAAGTTGAAAAGTTCATTTTGTTTAAAAGCAATTTTGGACAATCTGAAAATGCGCGTTTCAAAGTCGACATCGAAACTATTGAATCTCTATTTCAAAAATTCGCCCCTAAACGAGGCGCATAGATATAGATATAAAATTTTGAGCGAATGTAGAGCAAACATTTCGCTATTGATGAGAGTAAGTTCAAACATTCATTGGGTTCAAGAACAATTTTGAAAATTTTACTGTCGATGCTCTATTTCAAAAATTAGCTATTGGAGGTCCCGAAGAGATATAGCATTGAACATTTTAATAAATATAGGGCACACACTCTATGGCCCAGGATAAATAGAAAAGTTCACTGTGTTTAAGAGCAATTTTGGCAATTTCGACATCGAAACTATCCCAGCTCCAATTTAAAAATTTGCCCTTAAAAGAATCGAATATGTAGAGCTGAATTTTTCTGTGAATAGAGAGCAAACATTTTACTATTGACGAGGGCAAGTTTAAAAATTTATGGGTGCAAGAACTATTTTTGAAATTGAGGATCTCAAAGTCGAAGCTCTATTACATAAAATCGTGCTTAGAAGCTCCGAGCAGATAGAGCGCTGCATTTCATTAAAAATATAGACCAACCATTATTCTATTGCTCAGGATAAATAAGAAAGTTCACTGTGTTTAAGAGCAATTTTGGCAATTTTTCTAAAATGTGCGTCTCAAAGTCGACATCGAAACTATCGAAGCTCCACTTCAAAAATTTGCACTTAAAAGAGTCGAAAAGATATATGTAGAGCTGAAATTTTCTTTGAAGAGAGAGCAAACATTTTTCTATTGATTGAGTTCAAAAGTTCATTGGGTGCAAGAACTATTTTTGAAATTTTTTGAAAATGAGCATCTCAAAGTCGAAGCTCTATTTCATAAAATCGTGCTTAGAAGCTCCGAGTAGATAGAGCGCTACTATTTTGTTTAAATATAGACCAAACATTGCTCTATTGAACAGAGTTAATTAAAAAGTTTACTGGGTTCAAGAGCAATTTTGGGAATTTTTGGGAAAACTATCAAGGCTCTATTTAAAAAATTTTCCTTTGAAAATCGCGATCAGATATAGAGCTGCAATTTTTAGTGAATATAGAGCAAACATTGCTCTATTGATCAGAATAAACTGAAGAGCGCAATGGGATCAACATTTTTTGAAAATGTTTGTCACTAAGTCGATATTTACGCTGTCGACGCTCTATTTAAAAATTCGCCCTTAAAATACCTAAGCAGATAGAGCGCTGAAAATTTCAGTGATTTTAGATCAAGCATTTGTCTATTGAACAGAGAAAAACAAAAAATTAAAAGGCTCAAAGAGATTTTGAAAATGAGTATCTCAAAGTCGACATCGAGACTATCAAGGCCATATTTTAAAAATTCGCCAAAGACACTGCCAAAGCTTTATTTCAAAAAATCGTGCTTAGAAGTTCCGAGCAGATAGAGCGCTACAATTTTCTCTAAATATAGACCGAACATTGAGATATTGAACAGGGTTAATTAAAAAGTTGATTGGGTTTAAGAGCAATTTTGTGCATTTTTTGAAAATGCGCATCTCAAAGTCGACATCGAGACTATCAAGGCCCTATTTTAAAAATTCGCCTTTAAAAGCTCCGAACAGATATGGAGCTCAAATTTTCAGCAAATGTAGATCATACATTGCTCTATTTCAGGTCAGAGTTCAAGAGCAGTTTTGGATATTTTTTGAAAATGTGCATCTCGAAGTCGATTCTTTTTTTTAAATTAAACTAAATTTAAATTTATTTATTATTATTAATTTCTATAATTTGATCATTCTCCCATTATCCTATGGCATGTGGATAAAAATCGATTTATAGCATTTTTGAGGTTACACGCCCACACGTTGGTAGGATACAGGAGACGACTCCGTAATATAATATACTTTCCATCTATAGCACAATGTGGCAAATTCGATCGGGCTGTAAATTCGCGACTAATTTTATGAACTTTTTTTCCAGAGCTTAGCATCTGAAAATACCCTCATTCTCACCTCATTTGATCGTATTTTTTTCTATTTTCAGGAGATTGAATATCAATCTGAGCGTGATGATCCTCTAGAATATACGCAGCCACCTATCGACGAGCTTCTGTCGACTTCCTCGAATGACGCGCCTGTGTTCCGAAAAACCAATTTTCGAAAATTGGCTCCAAAGGTCATATCCCCTGGGGAAAAAATAATTAAAAATAGAAAAAAGGGAAGCACCGATAGTGCTGTAGAACAGGCTCGGGATACTGCTGTGAGGGTAGGAGACAAATGCAATAAAGATGCCGCCAATGAAGTTGACTGTTTTGGCAAGTTAGTGGCTTGTAAGTTAAAAAAGCTTCCGGAATCAGTGGCTTTGGAATCGATGGCGTACATTCATTCCTACCTTGTAAAGCAACAGTTGAAGCAAATGCCCAGCCAATAAGAGTTCCGGCGCAAAACACATGACCCATAGGATTAATTTTCATATTCTTCAGAACATCAATTTCCATCTTCTTTCAACCCCAAAATCAAACATTCCTAACTGTGCCCATAATGTTAATGTGCATCGCGACCCTGAACCAGAGAAAGGTTTACTTTCTCAGTCAATTACTGCTGCACTTTATGCTGAAATGTTAAGGAATGTTCTTAGTTAGTAGGGTTTGAAATATACTCTATTTTAACGACTGGCGCTTATCTAACTCCTATACTAGTAGTAGAAGTTTCTATAGCGTTCTACGCTCTTCGATACCCAGCTTCCATCCTCTTCGATCTTCCCAGGCTCCTGGTTGTAAATTCCGTTCAGACATTGCTTTATGTACTTCGTCAATGCATTTGTTTTTTGGTCTTCCCCTTTTTCTCTATCCAGGACCAGTTTGGGAATCTGATCTTCTTAAATCCTGTCTGTATTTTATCAATTATCACATTAAAACTTTCATAATCTCCCGCATTTCCTCATTTCTTGCTCGTTCCAATCTCGATCTACCACCAGATCTATGCCAGAAATCCATCTCTGGGGCCATCAGACGATGTCCTAGAATTTTATTCATTTGCCACATATCGCAATTCAGACTTCCGATGACCTGCCAATGATGATATTTAACAATACGATCTTCTATGTCTTTTTCCGTCCCCAGGTAGGTGTATTCCCTACACGAGCTGATACGATACGGCGCGTTGGTCCACTTGGAGATCCTCTACCTTATCGCTGCCAATGCACAGACGCTGCGTCTTCGTTGTGTGGTTAACAGACAAACCCAAATCTTCGTATTCTCCAGACAGTCTTCTGGTCATGAAGTGCAAATCTTCCGTGTCCTGAGCAATCACTGCCTGGTCGTCTGCGAAATGCAATGTATAAAGTGTTGTATCTTCGGTCAGTGGTAAGCCCATCCCACTGCATGATCACCTCCACTTCTTCAAGAAGATATATCTATTATCTCTAGTTTCTCTGTTCCATTTTTCAAGAGCTCAGCAGGCAGGATTCATGAATTTTATAGCCTCACCATGTCCTTAGTGACATCTATGTGTTGGTCTTGTAGGCTGTCCTTTGTTGAGGTGGTTGTTGGGTATTCTTGCCTTTCCTGAGCAGTTTTTTCGAACAGTGTTGTTGCCAAGCGTTCATTTGGATTGATGATATCCGGGCTTTATTGGATGAGGTCGTTCTCTCTCCAGTTTTGTATGGAAAATTAATAAACTATGACAAAAAAGACCATCACAGGAGCAAGAGATGCCATCAGAGCCAACACAGTAGTAAGAGATGCTGTCGAGACCATTCTGCGTATGAAGTGGAACTGGGCGGGTCATGTGACCAGAGTAACTGATGGTCGATGGACAAAAAATATTACAATGGAGTCCAAGAGTGGAAGCAAACAAAAACATGGGACGCCCACCAGCCTGATGGAGTGACAACATAAGGAGACTCGCTGGCAATTGGATGCTGATGGCACAGTACCGGAAAGGATGGCAAAATGTGAGAGAGGCTTTTGCCCAGCAGTGGACGGTATAGGCTGATGATAATGACAAAAAAATGTATATAATTTATATTTGGAGATCCTCCAATAGAGTTGAAGGTTGAGAAGAGGAATCGCGCTAGTCTGGTCGGTCTTGTTCAACAGAGGGGGTCCAGGAAGGTCCGATTGTGAGGGTTGTGTTTCCAGCTGGATTGTAAGACGAGCAGTCGTTTCAGAATCTTTGGCAAGTTTGTGTCGTGGGTTTACTGGTCTTCGTTATCAGTTTCAGTCTTGTCTGTACGAGCCCTAACAACTTTTCGGACGATGTTGAATGAGTAGAAAATCAACAGTTTTTTAGGGTAAATACATTTTTTTGTTTTTTCCACTGAAAAATTAATTAAGTATCTTTTTACGCAACATGAAGACCGGCACTGGAAAAATTTTTAAAACAAATTAGGAAAACTGCAACAAACTTACGGATAAATAAATATTCGGACGCATTTTAATGCAACTGTCTTAAAGCCGGGTTCTCATGAGGTCGGAATGCGTGAAGCCGCAAAACCTTCGGACCAATCAAAGTTTATCCCCTTAGCATAAAAGTACCGAATTTTCAGAAGAGAACCTGCACTTGCGAGAAATTTGTTTCATTTTTAAACGAGCATTTATGCAGTTAATCAAAATCAGAATTTAGTAGAATCCCAATGAAATTTGCAGGATTTTCAGACTCAACTGTCTGCTACAGGCTGTACGATTTTCAAGCTGTTCATTTCTATAAATGAGAAGTTAAGCATTTTCAAAGGAGAACGTGCGCTTGTGTAAAAACCTTCAATTTCAATGAAGTCATTAGAGGAAAAACTAAAGAGATAAATCGCCGAATTTTATCCCGCTTTGGTATGGTTTTGAGTGTCTGTCGCTTCAAGCAACAAATCAATAAATACCGGTGGATGCTCAAAAACAAACAAAATTGGTCCTTCGAGCCGGATCACAAGAATCATTGCTAAATCGCCAGTGTCTATTAATCGGTGGCTAATTCGGACATTTTGAAAAGTATTGGTTTTTTCACGCGAATTCTTCATTCTATCGAACTAAACTTGATTCAAAACGAACTAAATTAGATTGCAAGTATCATATACACAAAGAACACTTTACAAACCCAGAAATTTTAACGGAGCACTTGGTTTATTCTGAAACTGATTTCTACTGAAGTGTATTTTAACACCTAAAAAAGTGTGAAAACAGTCTTATTTCGTTTTTATGAAATTGGCAAATTTCTATGATATTTTCCGGAATTTCAGACTGATTCCTGCTATAGGCTGAACGATTTTCAGGTTCTCAGTTTTTTTAGCTGAGAAGTTACGAATTTTTGAGGGCTAACGTGCGCTCGTGTGAGAACCGTAACTTTAAGACCAACATTTATCAAGCTAACAAAAATCGAGATTAAGTGTAATTCAAGCGGATTTTTCAGAATTTTTAGGTTCAAATGTTTTCTACATGTTACAAAAATTTCAAGTTGCTTTGTGAGCTGGACGAAAATTAAAAAAAATTGTAAGAAATATTGTGCAATTAGTGTAAACCCGTATTTTTGAAGAGCGATAGTCTGGTTGCAAAAAAATCAGACTTTATCGGGATTTCAATTAAAATTTCAGCATTTTCCGAATCAAGTGCGTTTTTTAGGCAATGAGCTCTTCATTTGTCATTGACTCTTTGTACGAATTTTTAAAGGCCGCTTGTGTGAGAACGTTCATTTGCAAGCCCGAATCTGGGCATAAATCAGAATTTAAAGCGGTTGGAATCAAACTATCAAGATTTTTAGACAGAAATATCTTCTATAAACTAGACGAAGTTTAAGTTGCCACTTGTTTAAGCTGAAAATTACAGAATTTTCAGAAGAGAACTTGAACTTGCGTGAAAACACTCATTTTTAAACGAGCATTTATGCAATAAAAAAAATCGGAATTTCGTAGAATCCCAATGAAATTTGCAGGAGTTTCATACTCAACTGTCTGCTACAGGCTGTACGATTTTTAGGATGTTAATTTTTCTAGATGAGAAGTTATACATTTCCAAAGGAGAACGTGCGCTTGTGTAAAAACCTTCTATTTCAATGAAGTATCGGCGTCATTAGAGGTAAAGCTAAAGAGATAAATCGCCATATTTTTTTCTATCCCGCTTTGGTATGGCTTTGAGTGTCTGATGCTTTAGGCAACAAATCCATAAATACCGGTGGATGTTCAAAAAACAAACAAAATTGGTCCTTCGAGCCGGATCACAAGAATCATTGCTAAACCGTCAGTGTCTATTAATCGGTGGCTAATTCCGACATTTTGAAAAGTATTGTTTTTTCACGCGAATTCTTCATTCTATCGCACTATTTAATTTATTTAAACTTTCAGAATTTTTCAGTTTCAGGAAAGTTACTCTTTCTTCTAAACGCTCAATTTTCCAAAGTTTTACTTAAATTCCCGCGAAAACTTTTAAAATAAATTTTATTAAAACACTCTCCTCTTTCGTCGCTTTGCAAAAGTTTTGAAAGCCCTTTTCAGCTTCAAATTTGAGACAAAAATCACATGATTGTTTATCAAACAAAGAACAGAAGAAGCGAAAGTTTATAATAATTTATTTGGAAGACTCGTCATTCCCCTGTCTATTAAGGCTATAGAGTTTTTTTAAAAACTGTGTTTTTTTAAATTTGACTGAATTTTTTTCTTGCTTTACTTTCCACTCAAAAACGCTTTATTTTGTAGATTCCCTTAAAAAACAATTAGCATATAAATTTATAGCTTTGTGGAAATTTTACATCAACTTTTTTCAGCTTCGAATTCGGGACAAAAACAAAAATAAATTTGTTCCGTTTTTTTTCCGAAAATCATTAAAGTTTTCTCCAAAAACCGAACACAAAACTAAGTGTTTAAGAAAACGCGTAAAAACCCCGTTATTTTCTGGTGATTTTCTGTACAATCATGGGGTCTTTTCAGCAAGAAACTTACAGAATTAATTTTGTTACAAAATTCGCCTCGCATTTATTGCTTCGTAAGGATTTTAGAAAACTCTTTTCAGCTTCTACTTTGACACGAAAAGCAAATAATTAGTTTTTTACCGAAAGTAGTTCGGATTATCTTCAAAAAACGACCAAAGTGCCAGTTTGCAAAAAAATATTCGGGAAATTCGTCAGCCTCATCGTTCTGAACATTTTTAAGGTTTCATTAAAATTTCAGGTCTTTCCAGTTTTAATAAAGTTTTTCTTACGCAATTGTTTCGACGCCAAAAAGGCGTTATTTTCTAAAGTTTTACTTACAAATACTGACAATCTTCAGGCATTTTCTGTGAAAAATACTAAATGCAATTTTATTGCAACACTTGCCTCCTTAACCGCTTTTTCGAAAACCTTTTGCTGCTTCGAATTTTTGACAAAACCCTCATCATTTTGTCTGGCTTTTTTCCCAAAAATATTATTCCAAACAGATCAAGCGAAAGTTTGTAATAAATTATTTGGAAAACTCGTCACCCTCATCGCTCTGAATAATTGTTGCGGCTCTTCAAAACTTCCAGTTTTTTCCGTTTTAAGGCAAAAACAAAAAATACGATATTTTCAAACAAACGTTGCTGGGAAAATGTTGATGACCTTTTCTTTTTTTTTTGCTGTTTGGACAATGTGTTAAAACGTTGCTTATAAAATATGGTTGATGACCTATTTTTTAGATGTTAAAATTCCAGTTTCGAGTCTCGTAAAGCTTTAA